ATTACATATAATTAAATAATATATATATATATATTATTTAATTCATACATAATTATTTGTAAATTACTATAGGTGATCAATTACAAATTTTTTGGAATTATTTACACAAAAGTTTAAAATATTTGATATAATATATGAATGTGAAACGAGAGTCAATGAAATTTTATTTGTTTAATGTTTTTGTAACAAACTGCGTAGGCGCACAACGTTGATGGCGTTATATTTGATTAATAATTATTGCTTCGGGACATATATTTTTATGCTGTTGACAGCCTACCAAACAATGCATGATAACGCTCGTGCAAAACTTGCAAATATTGTTTACATTAAGAATTCGAGTTGTAGACACGAGAAAGTGCGTCCATCGTTCCCTGTCGAGAACGGAATCGTTGAGAAGGTATTCGTTTTCGGGCATCAATATGGCGGCGAATCTTGAGGAAGAACAAAGTTTAAGAGAGTGCGAGGAATACGTGCAAAGACACAATATTCAACAAGTTTTAAAAGACTGTATAGTGCAATTGTGCGTGGGGCGTCCTGAAAATCCCATATCTTTCTTAAGGGAGTATTTCCAGAAACTAGAACGGGTATGTATTGAATCACAATGCCTGTAAATAACCTCGGATTTCATTTTGTCTACTCGTTTGAGTTCTGCTCGACGATGTAGAATGTATCACATTATTCTGTGAACAATAAAGTCTTTCAACAATTAGATAGGAGAGCAATAAATCCATGTAGAATGTAAATTTTATCTATTCCGTACACAAATACTTATACTCACACTCGCGAGTGCACGCGCGCGCGCGCGCGTGTGTGTATATATATATACACAAACAGAATTCAACAGAGTTTGAGAAGTATGAGTAATACGTAGTGAGTGAAAAAAGTCTTAATCCATGAATGTTACTTTCGATTACTGTTACCATTTTTAATACATTATTATATCAATAAATAAAAAGCGATTTCTTTTGGATTGGTTCATTAAACATGACCTGATTGAAGTCATTTTTAATTTAGTTATTCTAATAAGACAATAGATCACGGGACTCGTTATGAGAATGAGACTCATGATCAATGACAAGTAAGGATGATACATAATTTTACAGGAGCTTTTTGATAAAAAAAATGAACAATTAATATAATATTGTTGGAAAAGAATAAATATAATTTTATTAGAAACATATTACATATTTATATCCCGAACATTTATTCGAAATTGTTATTTTTCATAGTAGATTGGTTTTGAGAGGACTTACTAAATGAAAAGATGAAATTAAATGCAGTTTTGTCCTGTCTAATTCGAAAAGAAATTAAAAACGTCTGAAGACTTTACTATTGACTTCCAGGACAATATATTATTTGTTTTTTAATTTCATTTTTTATCGAAAAATCAACAAAGTATTTAGTTGTAATTGCAATCGTTATATTGTGTGTGTGTGTGTGTGTGTGTGTGTGTGTGTGTGTATTATGTTTAGATTGTAATTGAAAGTGT